AAATTAAACAAATTGTGACAACATTTTTAATATCAAGGTCCAAAACAGGAGACCAATCAATTTATATAATATTATAATTCATAATATAATTCAAGGTGTTCAAAACATGGGAATAAGGCGTAAATCAAAGACGAGGCATGGAAACACTATGCTGTTATACAACTGATTTTGAAGATTTTAGGAAAATGACTGTGAATTTTAGGGGGTTAAACCACAACGGACAACATAGCGCCTTTTTCTAGCTTTAAAAGTTTTTAATTATGAATTTGTTTTCCTGCACAAAAAATGATAAAATCCCTTTAGCAGAAAAGCCACATTTAAAATAATCGGTTTTTAAAATTTATTTAAAATTTAAAACATGGATATTTGCATATTATACCTATTTCATATATTACAACCTATAGTCATTGATTATCTTTCGCCACATTTGTATAAATTTGATATTTCATACTAGATTTGATTTTGTTTTTTAAAATAATATTTAGCTTCCAACTTGTTTTCGAACATTCCTGGAAAATATGAAAATGTCGTGTTCATTACCAAAAATCCTCGAAACAGGAATACATGTTTTTATAAGTAACTTTCAGATCATAACAATTAAAACATATTATGAAAAATCAACTATATATAAATGTGTCGAAAGATAATCAATGACTATAGGTTGTAATATCTGAATGATTTGTTTGAAGTTAAATTGATTTTTTTTACGGTCTAAATCGTATGTTGCAATTTTCTCAATTTGTATGGTCGCTACGCTCTTTGGTATGAGACGTCTTTAACAATTTTCTCCTTATAGACGCAACAGATAGAAGTAAGATTAGTAGCGATCAAAAGCTCTTTTTATCGCATTAAGCCTAAACCCTCTTTCATTTTTCGCGAACACTCCCTTTAAATCTTAAATTATTAATTTTATTTTATTTAACGCTGCAGCAAGATACTAAAACAATAAAATCAACTAAACAGGGACGTATAAATAATCTGTCCATAGAGGTGCTTGAATTTTAACATTTTTAAGGGGCTTAGCAGCCTTTTGGACCTGAAACCTCCCTGGAAACCATAGATTACATTGATCCGGGGGAAGGGGAAGCGGGGGCTGAGCCCAAATACCCCCCACCCCCCTTGTATACATACGCCTCTGCTACTACAAATAAACCCCAAAGTACGCACATCCTGTCACAAATCAAATTCTTTTGACAAATATTTCAATTGAAAAACTACGCCCTACGATTGTAAAAATAAAAAATTACTATTTGCATCCGTAATTATTTTCAGTTTGTATGTTTTGGAACAAATACAGGGTTACATTTTCGTCGTCAACAAANTATACTGTAAACCAATATATTCATGAGATATAGTTATATACTGTAAACCAATATATTCATGAGATATAGCTGTATACTGTAAACCAATATATTCATGAGATATAGCTGTATACTGTAAACCAATATATATTTATGAGATATGGTTGTATACTGTAAACCAATATATTCATGAGATATAGTTGTATACTGTAAACCAATATAGTCATGAGATATAGTTGTATACTGTAAACCAATATAGTCATGAGATGTAGTTGTATACTGTAAACCAATATATTCATGAGATATAGTTATATACTGTAAACCAATATATTCATGAGATATAGTTATATACTGTAAACCAATATATTCATGAGATATAGTTATATACTGTAAACCAATATATTTATGAGATATAGTTGTATACTGCAGAGGTGATGTTAGGTACTTTCCTAAAGGCAACTTTCTTCCAAGCGGAAATTTCTCAAGTTTGTCTGTCCTAGCTGCAACGCTCGGCCATATTGAAGACTTCGGGGCCTCAGAAGGCCTTATCTAACAATTGGGAAGTTGCCACTTGGGAAGGTCTCCCTTGGGAGTATGGTTTTGGGAAACTACCGTAAAGGTAGTAATAGGTTTTTTTTTACTGTACCGTACTTGGTCGCCCCTATATCTGGTTTATAGGGAATGTAAGTGTAATTTCAAGTGACCCTCGTACTAAAAAGGCTAAGCCGGATTACGCTTACAGTCCCTTTAAGGTTAATAAACGATACCTTTTCCCCCACAAGGTATGTTTACGGGTTAGACCTAGGACTGTAATCACTGATTTGGGGAAAATATATGATTTTTAGGGGAAAATAAATTTAGAATAAAGTTTTGGGGTAAGATTTTTTCCAAAAGGATACAAAAACGTGACTTTTGCTGTTCAAGTGTCCATTTTCCCTTCAGATGGTCAAAAATCACTTCCGTAATTCATAAAAATCACCCTAATCTTGATTATAAATATAAAAAAAATCTAGTGTCTTCAGACAGTATAAATTCCTTACAGTCGTCTCTGAAGTCCCATACTTTGTAGGTACTCTGTATAATACTTTATTCATCGTTATGCTAAAATTACTATAAGATTAATAATAGAAAGGGCGATGGCTGGTTGTTGCACCATTTGTTTTGATCCAGATTTCGGGATTAAAATTCCCAAACCACCACTAGATGTCTCGTCGGTGATTTAACGTGCCTTTCTCCTACTACTCCCATCTAGCGGTTGAATTCAACAACGACCTTGCCGACCGGGATGGGATAAGTCCTTAAAAAATACCGCACACCTGTTAAGGATAGAAACAGGACTAAATAGATGCATATCAATATATCGAGAGAACTACGCCTACCTCCAGTTTTAGTTTTATACATCAGAGATTTAGCATATTCATGTCAGAACATATTCATGTTTTATATTTAGGTACAGCACTAAAACAGGAAACAGGATAACTCATAACAGTGTGTCCCAGGCCTCACCAAACATGACAATTGGGAGTACGACTCTTAGGAAAAACATCACTTTTGACTCCTGACATTTCCAAAATGTGGTCTGCCATTTTGGTGCTTTTAAAATTACAGGAAATATAAAATATTTCATTTCCATCTATCAAAAAAACATTTTTTCATATCGTCCAATTTTAACATTTTATATAATTCATGAATATCATGAAAAAATTAATTTGATAATTTTGCTAAATTTTGCCAATAAACTATAAAGTATTTAAAATAAAATTATTTAAAAATTTATCTCTACAAAATAGTGCCTGAAATAATGACGGGAAAATGAAGGGGGTTGGAGGGGGGGGGGGGAGGACATGGTTCAATTTACAAATAAACGTTTATTCAAATTCAAATACTCTTCCTAGAAACGTTATCACGACTGTTATTGTGCAAAAACAAAATGTTTGACAAAAGGTGAATATTTCAAGAATCCCCCCCCCCCTCCCCGGAAAGGACAGATAAATTTTCACCCAGTAGGAGGAATAGATTACTTACGCAAGACTAAGAAAATGGAAAAGGAGGAGGGGGGGGGGCAAATTCTTGCAAAAATACTGGTACAACTTAATGACCTCGCAGCTTCTCTAGTTATGATTTTAAGTATGAGAAGTATATTTTTTTAGTTTTTTTTATAGCAAACTGTAAACTAGTTTCCTTTTAATTAGAGCTCTTCAATAAAAGTTATGATTGCAAACATGAAAGATTTGACATGAAAATTACTTCGATTCTACAGAGCATAGAATACAAAAATCTGATTAAGAAAATCTATGTACTAACTGTACAATGTACAACATAAAGTGTATGTTTACGTTCCGTTGCACTGAAAACTCTGATAATAGTTGTTTTCTTTAACTAATAAATTAAGCAAAGCTATTTAGTCAATGAAGAATAATCAGCATTAGCCAATTCTCATATTATCTGAATGAACATCGTTGAAATCCAGATTAATGGGTTCGAAAAGTCAAAAATTCGAACAAAACACAAGATTTTTTTTTAACTTTTCATATTGATCATTTGTAAAATCTTATCTGTTAACTCTGTTTATGTGCGTTCTCTATGGTTCGATGAGCAAAGACGGAAATGGGGCGTTTCTTTTTAAGCCCACAACACATCATTTATAGGGAGGAGGTTCTAGAACCCTGTGCGGGGGAGGGGGGGGGGTCTTAAACCCTGGGGATGGGGTGGATGGTCTTAATGAATCCAATAATTATACATCAGTAGATTTAAAAACCACTTAGAATAATATCAAATTTGTCTCGCTTGCTTTGCATGATTATTAGAGCAAAATAATTTGTTTGTCCATTTTATTAAAAATCTGTATTTAAAATGACCCCCCCCCCATTTAAAAAACAAAAACACAATTTAAATTTTTATGTAAACAAAGGAGTTTTTTAGATAAGATTTAGTTAAGCTGAAGTTATTTTCGTTTTCTTAAAACATGCGTCAGTAAGTAAATAAATCTTTTTTTACGCGACCAAATGTGCAAGGTGCGTAAATATTTTATTGTTTATGGTGCGTTTGTGATTTCACGCAACCTGGTTTATTCTTATTTTCTGATTTGAATTTGTTATTGTTAATAATAAGGCTATTTTAAGTGGTTTGGGGTTAACCGACATTATACATTATTTTTATCAAAATTATGTTACGATTCCCCCCCCCTTAACAGTCCGACATGTTGGCTCAGGGGTAGAGAAAAGAAAGAACATTTATGTGTGAAAACATTTATTTGTTTGTACACTTGAAGATAAGAGAAAACAATCCGAAATATTTAGAACGTGAGGAAAAAGTCGGTCTGTATATTTGAGATAGAAGTCACAAGTGTACTTAAATCTCCCCTCTAGCTTTATTTACCATCTTAGATTGGATAAAAATTTAAACAATCTGTGTATGTCAAACTAGTGTCTAGAATGATGTACGATCGGGCTTAGGGAACAAAACAAGCCCAGTGTCATCAAAATATTTGCAATCGTTAGTGAGAATTTCACATTTGTGAACACAGTGTACATGAATTCATAATATTATTGCTACATTTATTTACCATGTACACTGTACATGATTTTTTAGAAATAATACTTTTTTTGTGAACAAAGTAAACGAATTCTTAGTGATAATCCTACATTTATGTGTATTTAACTATGTATATTAATTTTCTGAAGATAAAAATATTCCTACCGTCTGTAGTTCCCACTCCCATCGCCGCCGTCGGCATCATGTTGCCCGACGAGCGCATGTCGTCGAACTTTGACATGAGAAGCGCAGTCTTGTTGGCGGGCAAATTGCCGCGCTTTTGTAAATCCGCGCGCACTTTCTCCCCAACATGACGGTAGATCTCGACCATAGTGGCTACCGCAGCATCTCGCACAGCCGACTTAAGAAAAAAAATTTTAATACTTTTGTAAAGTTGTTAAAGTATCAAGATTATGTCATGAGAACATATGGGTGAGAGGAGGAGAGTGAATAAAAATACGCTTTCTTTCATAAGTTGGAAAAATTCAATATTTATAAAGAATACTTTGCGGAAACATTTTCTATAGAGGACAAGAGGGGGGGGGGTTAAAAAAATACTTTCTCTAGTTTTAAATTTTTTTAGCAGAATCAATTTATCTTTTTACAATAATTTTTTCATTATTGTAAAATAAAAAAAAACTTAATTATTTTTCTGAGAGAGAAAAACAACAGAATAACATTTTTTTGTTACACTTTTTATAAAATAGGAAGAATTTTGAATTCTCAAAAAAATGGTTGATTCCAATATGGATATATACCTGTGAATCGCTGAGAAGGTTTGTGATGCATGGAATGAATTTAGAAACTGTGAGACTGGAAGAACCATGAGCATTCAACGTGTTCTGCAGAAGTACGAGTATCTCTTCTCTAACCTAGAATATTTTCATCTTTTTTGTGAAACGGTTCAGGATTGAACTTTTTAACTTTTATCGAAATTTTGAAAATTCACTCATAAAAAATAATTTGAGTAAATGCTATTAAAATATTGAAAAGGAAGATGACTTTAAAGCAATTCTGAAAGTTTGTGATGTAGTTGTCTATTGTATAGCAATTAGCTTCGCCAGTGGATTAAACATCAAGTGAATTGGGTTCTGTGTACATAAATATAGTTAGATTTTTCCCTTTTCTTCTATAAAGCTTTTCCGTGTGTGTTAGAAAAATAGCCCTGCATAGTTTGAGAACTTGACAAAAAAAAATAGTGAAAAATTTAAAAGAATAGCAAGCTGAGAGTTATTTAAAAAGAAAAAAGATTATTTATTTCGTGTTTTTTCACAATAAAAAAGAAACAACTGAAAAATGTTTAACTGTTGGGATACCATCAAACTCCTAGTTCTGTTGAGTCAAGCATTACCTTTCCATTTTTATGCGTGAAGGCTGGCAACATTTTGTCAAACAAAGGCTGTGGCTGGATAGTAGCATCCATAAGCTTGCATAGAGCTATGCTAGCTTTCTCCCTGACAACCTCCCTTGTATCTCCTGAATATATTAATAAAAGGGTTTTACAAGGTTCAGTTGTGTGTCTATTTTTATTGAGAAGCTTGAATAGAACTATGCTAGCTTTCTCCTTTTATCTCCTGAATATATGAATAAAGGGGTATTACAGGGTCCAGTAGTGTCTAGTTTTAATAATAAGCTTCCATAAAACTATGCTGGCTTTCTCCTTGTATCTCCTGAAAATATGAATAAAGGGGTATTACAGGGTCGAGTAGTGTGTCTAGTTTTAATAATAAGCTTCCATAAAACTATGCTGGCTTTCTCCTTGTATCTCCTGAAAATATGAATAAAGGGGTATTACAGGGTCGAGTATTGTGTCTAGTTTTAATAATAAGCTTCCATAGAACTATGCTGGCTTTCTCCTTGTATCTCATGAATATATGAGTAAAAGGGTATTACAAGGTCCAGTAGTGTGTCTAGTTTTATTAATAAGCTTGCATAGTACTATGCTGGCTTTCTCCTTGAATCTCATGAATATATGAATAAAGGTCCAGTAGCCTGTCTAGTTTTATTTATTTTTAACTCACAACCACTCTAGTATCTACTATATAAATAAATTAAAGGGTTATACAAGAATGAATAACATATTGAAGAAAGAATAAAAAAATTGAAGAATTAATAAAGAATTGAAGAATGAATAAGAGCAAAAAAAATGAATGAAGGATTAAAGAATGAATACAGGATTGAAGAATGAGGAAAGGATTGAAGAATGAATATAGGATTGAAGAATGAGTAAAGGATTGAAGAATGAATAAAGGATTAAAGAATGAATATAGGATTGAAGAATGAGTAAAGGATTGAAGAATGAATAAAGGATTAAAGAAAGAATACAGGATTAAAGAATAAATTAAAGGATTATTGGTTAAAATAAAATAAATGAATAATTAAATTAAGTATAGAGGATTAAAAATTAATTTTGTCCTCAATAATTAAACAAATAAATGGAGGATCAAACTATTACAATGAAGGATTGAAAAATGAATGAAGAATCAAAAAAATTATATTGATGGAATTGTTAGAATTTATGGTACAGCGAACAAATGCACAAATCTCTTAGAAAAACATAACAATTTGAAACAAAACATGAAGAGAGGGGGGGAGGTAAAAATAATTGGGGGTAAAGGACGAAAGGTGGTTTGAAGTGTTGGAAGGAGGGGAGGGGGGATTTTTTTCATAAATTTATTTTATTTTAAGACTACAAAGGTTCCAGGCGAGGTTGAGTAATCCAAACATCGTTTTAAAGGATTTATTAGAATTTAAGTCAGCTTTACAGGACGGATCACGTTCTTCAATAATAATACTGTAAATTTACATTGGTTAAATATTTGAAATTAAAATTAAAATCTGCAATTCTGTATCCGGTTTATAAAATGTTTTTATTGAAGAACTAAGTGACATTATTTTTGGTTTCCTGTTATTCTAGCAACAGTTTAAGCATTCACATAAATGTTCCGTCCATTTTTTCATCGTAATTATAAAACTTAAAAAATTTTCAGATTTGTCAATTAACATTTTTAGATTTTTTAAATCGACATTTTAACCAAGCAAAATATTTTATTTTTAGTTAATCGTCAAAAACCTTTCTTGGCTTCGTGTGAGTTGCCACAAAAAAATGGGTCCGATCAGTTTTGACGTTTATTTGACACAGACTAGACAGACAAGCCAAATTTATACATAAATTTAGATTATTTTATGCAAAAATCTTGTCATGTTAAATGTGTTTTTTTAATGCATTGTTACTTTTTTTTGTTAATGTTGTATTGACAGTTTTAGTGTAAGCTCAGATCCTTTAACCACAAATAACCTAGATAATGATAAGAAAAAACTTCCGGCGATATTTGAACAGAAATATGTGATAACTAACTGAAGTGCCCGACGTTGCCCGTGGTAAAAAACAAATTTTGAATTTTGAAAAAAAAAATATTTATGAAGAAAAATAATTTTTGAAAGAAAAAAATTGATTGTTAAAACAAAAAAAATCCACTTTTTTCAGCCTTTATTACCCCCGGGTAACTGTGGGTTCCCTCAAAAAATTTCAGCCCATTCGGTCCAGCCGTTTGGCCAGCCATAGATAACATATTTCCAAACAAATTTATATATAATATATATATATGAGCGAAGAGCTTTATTATATAGATTTCAATGTCGATCATAAAATATAAAAATCACATATTGACAGGCGAATGACAACACATTCTTAATTATCCCGCCGAAAAAAATACGTCCATTGGGAGGGGGAGGGGGGTCTGAATTTGTTTTATTCAACCTACCTCAGATAAGGTCTAAAATCTGATCCAAGCCGGTCAATCAGATGACCCAGGATATCCAAACCATTCTGGGAAACCTAAATAAAATCAATTAAAACAAAACAAAATTTAAATTTTTTTTGGCTTAATTAGGGAAAATAAATAAAATTTTGTATAAAAGTATTAAGAAGGATGAACAAACATGCATTTTAATGTCAAATTTTTTTCCCCCAGATCTTCAAAAACTATAATACATGTACAGCGTACAAAAAGGAATAAAAATCAATTAAGGGACAGATATGTTTACAATCTTATGGTGTGTAGCAAAAATCGTGGAAACATGATATTCTGTAAACCTGCAGTACGTTGTACATTATTAATGATTTAATGTTGTAAACTTCGACTAGACATAATGAAATTATTCATAATTAGCTTAAATCATGCGACATACTTAAATTACGCTATCAACATGGGCGGAGATAGCTTAACTGCGTTATATCTATTCTCTCTAATCTTATAAATACGTACATTAAACTTTAACTGTGCAGTAAATATGTAATACGATTGTCTAAATCATGTGTTATAGATAACATTGTAGGAATGGTAACTACGTCAATTCATGTTAACTTTTGACATAGATATTAAATAAAGCTTAGTTTAAAGAGTAACTCCATACTGTTTACTAGGTGAGAGTAAACCTAAAACCCTGATTTTATATTCATGTGGGATTGTCCCCTTTGATTTGGGATCGATATATAGCTTGTTGTATAAGCTAGGCTTGTGTCCTTGCATGGCATTTAGAGCACCGGATTGTCCAACATTTGGGATTGACATATAGCTTGTTGTATAGCTAGGCTTGTGTCCCTGTGTGGAATTTAGAGCATTGGACCATTCCCATCATTTGGGATCGATAAATAGCTTGTTAGATAGCTAGGCTTGTGTCCCGGTGTGGCATTTAGAGCACTGAACTAATAGCTCATTGGATAACTACACTTGTGTCCCTGTGTGCATTTAGAGCAAGGTGAGTTTGGAGCAGTGCTTAGGATTCGGATCTGTTGGATCCGCAAGATTTTGGCTTCCTGGATCCGGATTCAGATCCGCAAAAATATACGGATCCACGGGTCTAAATCCAAGTGGTAAAATATCAACCAAAAACTGCAAAAACAACTTTTTTACTCCTAAAACCAAAATCTGAACTTTTGAAAAAAAAGATAAATTATAAAAATTTCATGGTTCATAAAGTTTTGGGATAAAAATATGCAAAAAAAATAAAACAAAAATTGAAAATTATTTTTTGTTGAAAAAATTCAGTAAATCTTAAAGAAATGACCTGGATCCGGATCCGGATTTGGATCCGGATCTGGATCCGGATCCATTTTTCCCAGTAAAGCTCCAGGATCCAGATCCAGATCCAGATCCGGATCCGCATCAAAATTAAATAAATCCTAAGCACTGGTTTGTAGCAAAACTTGGGGCCTAATGTAATCTACGCTGTAATCTGTTCATATAGTAACTTTGCAAATCCTGTAATGCATTAAACCCATTCCATGTTCATCAATAGATATAACTTAAACATACCCATAAATGTGATTAATGGGGTAGAAACTCCGCACCTAACTTGTAATTTTGCTCCTAATAACCCAATTTTACCATGAACCCGGGAATAAAGTTAGTTGATTGAGACTCCGCTTTTGATAACGTTGTCAGTAGCATAGTAAGCTTGAAACAAAGCTTTGGTTCTTGTTGAAACAAGTTGAGATTTGGACTGAGTGTCCTTTAGAACCGGGGAGTTAAGCCTGGTTGAGAAATTGCTTGTGTAGCAATTTCATTTGCCTGGTGGCTTGTAGAACTAGGGAGTTAAACCTGGTTGATATTTGGACTCTGTGTCCTTTAGAGCCAGGGAGTTAAGCCTGGTTGAGATATTGCCTGTGTGGCATTTAGAATCAAAGAGATAGTTCTGGTTGATCTTGGTAACGAGTAGTTTGATAGATACGTCACAAAAAAATTCTTATGGAGTAATCATTTGCTACAGGTTTTGTGTCCTGGTTGAACTAATAGCTTGTTGGATAGCTACACTTGTGTCCCTGCGTGGCATTTAGAGCCAGGTGGGTTGTGTCCTGGTTGACTCTGATAGAGGACGGGTTGTGCCTGGATAGATACGTTTCAAGAACTTGTTATAGAGTAGGTGTTTACTACAAGTGTAACCAATTGAAATTCTTAACATTGGATTTTAGCAAATATTATATTTTGAATTATCTGGTTGCTAAGATACAAGGGTTAAAAATATAGAGTTTGAAGCGAGAAATCAATTTTTTATTGGTTTAATTTAAATGATACCCATTACAGTATTTTCGTTTTTCAGCTACAAAATCAAACAATCAACTTGAAAAGACTATTTTGTTCATTGGTACATACAAATTCGGTAAGTCAACATCCGATTAAATAAATAACTATTAATTCATTTGACTATGATTAATTGATTCAGATTTTAAGTAAAAAATAAATTCATTAATTTGTCTTTGTTTGTCAATGGTTTACTTAGGTAAAAAGTTCCCATAAAAGTGAGTGTGGTGGGAGTAGGATAAGGTTCTGAAGATGTATCATCAAAAGTTTGCAGTGATGCGCCATATTGTCAACAAGGGCTTACATGAACTTAAAAAAATATCCCCCCCCCTTTTTGAAATTCATATTTTTCTCCCAATGTAAAATATGCTTTTAATTTTATTCGCAAAATTAGAGTAAATAATAGATTTTTTGGTAAAAAAATATCAAAGTTTCATCTCACATCCATTCTTCTTCAGATCTTGAAACATGACACCCCTGGCTTAGGTAAACAACCGTGCATAGTTCGCACTTCATTTTATAATTCAAACGAATGAAACAAAACAATGTCAGGAATTAATCGACCGTCCCCCCTCCACCCCCTCCCTTAAAGCATTAAAAACATCACACCACACAAACCTCCCCCTTCTCCCCGTCTTAAAAACTTGTATCCATTAATTAAACATAAGAATCAAGACTTTTAGTAATTTATTTTTTCGTTTTTTTTATAATAAAAGTTAAATTGCCAAAACTTTGTTGACCATGGAGATTTCCACGGGATTTTACAAAACTTTGATAAGTAAACAGTAAAGTTGTCGCCTTAAATTAAATTTTGTATTACTTTAATTTTTAGAACTGTAGCACTGGCAAACCTACAATCCCCTTCCTTCATCCCTACCTACCTTACACACCTTCCCCTTCTTTACTTGGCCTTTCCGTTCCTTACCTCGCACATTCATATTTCTCCCTTCCTCTACAATATCCTTCCTTCATCCCTACCTACCTTTCACACCTTCCCCTTCTTTACTTGGCCTTTCCGTTCCTTACCTCGCACATTCATATTTCTCCCTTCCTCTACAATATTCTTCCTTCATCCCTACCTACCTTCCATACCTTCCCCTTCTTACCCATTCCCTTTTCCCCCTTTATTATTATTAAGTCTTCCGACCCCCCCCCCCCCCCCGAGACGAGAGGGTGTGGGGAATTATATAAACCCCTGCATTTGATAAAAATTTTATTTTATTCAAAACAGACTTTTACATATTCAAATTATTAAGAGAGAAAATCTAGGAATTTCAAAATACTGTTCTAATTCATTGAACAATTGTCAGAATCATTTTTATGATTACAAAACTACGATATCTTTATCATTGTTACTCAGATAAAAGTTGAAGGTTACCATTGTGAATCGGATATACTATTCTATAAAAAAGGTCCCCTGAAATTATGTCTAGTCCCTTTTTAATGCACTTTCGGCGCTATCTACGGCTGACGCATAAAGCGTGGGTGGAACCTAGTGGGAGGGTAGAATGAAGTGCACATTTCTCAGATACATTCAGTACAATTTTTGTCAAAACATCGATTTAGAATTATATATTTTCTGCCTATGATGAGATCTCAACATATTACTCCTCCAGACTAAAAAAAATCTTTGTTCCAGAACTTCAGTGAGAACCAGAAAACTGTTGAATAAATGCCGTCCTTGCTATCTCATTTTTAAAAGGATTTTATAATTAGCAATTGTTGCAACTGAAATAGCTCGAAAATATCCAGGCATCTTTTTTATAAATACTACATTAAAATAAATCAAGAAAACAACGAGAATTCTACAATATGTCTTGTTCTCACTGAATTAGAAGTGTGTGTTATTATGATTAAGGTTTTCAAGGGTCCAAATTAAAGCAGATTTTAAAGTTTTCGAAATGCAAAGCAAGCAGCAGGGGTGTATATTTTTCTGTTTCAGCTTTCATTTGGTTTGGGGAAAAAATGAAGAAAAAAGGAATAAGGGAGAAGGAAGGGGGAAAAGGAAAAAAGGGATGGGGAAAGGGAAGAGAAAGGGGAAAGAAAGAAGGGAAAAAGAGAAGAGGGAAGGAAAAATGGGAAGAGAAAAAGAGGCAGAGGGAAGGGAAAAGGGTCAAGAGGGAAGGGAAAAGGGGAAAAGGAAGGGAAAAGGGGTAAAAGAGAAGGAAAAAACAAAATTTTTTTTTAAGTATCAGAAATGCTTAAAAAACTCAGGGGGACCTTAAAGTTGACCTTTTTAGGGCACCAAAACGCTCCATTTTACAACTAAAATCCAAAACATTTCTTCTTCGAAGTTTGCGCGGGGAAAAATATGATTCTGAAAGGGCAAATATAAGAGTTGCACAACTAGTATACACCCCTCTGGCAAAGTGTAAATTTATAAAATTGGTTTTTTAAGATCTGAGGGGAAAAGCCAAAAATTGGACAAAAAATAGTATTTTTTTTTTGAGATTATTGAAACTTTGAACCCAAAATTTATTTATTTTCCCCTGAAAATCGTCAATTTATACAGGTCAGCGCAAAGAAAAAAAAAATTTGTTTGGATACTCCTCGCAAACATACCTAACGAATGATTTTTAGAGAAAATATACACCCTGGAAAAGGTCTATGTTATGGCCTGTTAGGGCTAATCAATTAGCAACCTTAAATGATCTGAATTAATCATAGATTTGCAAATATTTGTGAAGTATTTATTTCTAGGGCACACTCCAGTATTTGACACAGATTCTTTAATTCTAAATAAATTAAATCAAAAAGGGTTTCGGGGGGAGAAGAATAAAATATTCAGGTATATGTATTTTCAAAAAATTATCTAAAAGGATCTGTGAAAAAAAGAAAACCTATTTAAAAATTTCCAAGTACAGCATTGAAAGCTAAAATTCATCATGATATGTTTAAAGCAAATTATTATTATTTTATATCAGGTTTATTTATTTTTGTAATTAAATTAATCAACTTTTGGGTATAGATCTAGGAATCAAATCAAATGATATTTTTTTCTACAGAGGAAATTAGAAAAAGAAGAAATCCTAAAAAGAACTATAAAAAATCAACACATAAAGCCAGAAATGTCAAAAATAATAAAAAAATAATTAATAGGTATGTTCGTGGTATAACGTTTATATTTTGTATGTCTTGTTGAATTACCATACACCCTCTAGGCCTTTAACGGGGGGGGGGGTGCACGTGCACTCCCCTTTTTTGCATAGGGATGCAACTGCATAATGTTGATACAGTTGTAATCAAGGAATTATATAAAATTAAACATCCAACTTTTGAGAAAGAAAAAATTCTTCAGATTTCTCAGCAACTGGTTTTGATCAAACAGCAGGTTGAAAAAATCTAATGATATACTTTGTTAAAACACCCTCATCAAACAGCAGGTTTTCCTCCAATGTGTATGAAATATTTGCGCAGTGTTGTCTCAAAGACAACATGATAAATGAATATGGAACATACTGGGTTTATAATTTAAGATATGGGGCTGAAATTTTGCCAACAGTCTCGAGTGTGAGTCATCTACGTGGAAAAATAATAAGATATTTGGATTTGTGGTCACTGCCTTTGATATTTTAATATATTACTTTTACCCGGCCCTCTTTACGGTTATAAGAAGGTCTCAAATTTTAAATATTTCTGAAGTACATTTTACAAAAAAACACTTTACTTTTAACATTAGGTGGTTTAAATTGTTGAATTGGGAAAAAAGATCCTTCTTGCTAATATGTAATTTTTCACATTTAATTCGTAAAAAAAAATTAAATAACCCAGGAAAATGAAGATATTTGTTTGGACCAAAAATGTGACAAATTGTCTTGATTTTGATAACGTGAGAACCAGAAATCTATGGATTACAAAGACGACAATGAAACAAAAACTAACTGTCTTAAATGTCGTGAAGCAAACATTTTTTTAGTAACTTAATTTAGTAACTTAATTTATTGAAATGGAACTGTTTACACCACATGATTGGTATATCTCATGCCATGAAATAGCTCTTAAACCCGCCTTTTTATTCCAGAGTTTTCTGGCTCTCACCGTATCATAATCTATTCTTGATAATACCTTAAAGTTTGAACTTTGCATCCACGGAACAAGACCATCAATGAACGCCCCTGTATCCTCACAGTCGATGCTACCTTGCTTTTCCAAATAATTAATAATGTTGTCGCCATGCGAAAGCTTCTTCTTAGTGTCGGTTGTCGACAAATCACTGAAAAACTGATCTAATCCCGACATTGTGAATTAGTTAAAAACCTCTTCCGGTCTTAGATAATTTTGGATTGATTAAATCACTGATCACTTTAAAATCACATAACAACACTTGATAAATAGATCACAACAGCCGCAAATCATCTGAAATATCCGGTATACGAGTAATTTAAACAATCATAACAAGGCTTTAAATATACCAAACATTATATGTTCCTCTTTTCCATCTAGAAAAAGGGGTTTTGTGCATTTTAAAACAAACTAAAAGACGTATAAAGCTATACTTCATGTAAAAAAATACCGCCTGAATCCTTTTCTAGGAAAAAAACAAAATGTTTTAAAAGAAAATGATTTTGATCTGTGGTGTATGGTTTTAAGAATTTTTACAGTTAACCACCCTTCCCTTTTCCCAACAATTTTTGTTTTTAAGGATCAGATTAAGAACGAGTTAAACTATAAGTTGTCCAACAGAGTGATGATTAATGTTGGACTATGTATCTCACTCTTTGATATTCTTGAAGTTGGAGAATCACACATTCTTCCAGGTATTTTTTGTACTAATTATATCAATACAATGAAGACAATTTTTTTTAAAAAGTTTTGACTGTTAATAAGCTTTTATAGATTCAAGCAAAAAAACACTCCGCATAATTTACTCTAATCATTCCTATCAGCATACACAACATTGAGGATATTGGGAGAATTGGAAATAGTGATCATGTTATGATTTTATGTGATAAACAAATCAATATAACTGAACAAACTGTACCTTCCATGACTGGGAAAAAGCTAATATCATAGGTGCGAAGAATTTTCTTTACAATTTTTACTAAAATAACATGAGAAGAGAAGAAGAAACCCAAATAAACCTCTTTGGCTCAATAAGGAAATTATAAGACTATAGGCAAGATTAGGGCAAAAGTACAAAGTGACAAAATCCTTCTCAGATCTAGATGACTATAAAGTCTGCCGTAAACATCTTCAGAACACTATCAGAAACTCATAAAGAAATTTAGAGAAGAAAATTTCCCTTGATAATAAAAATCAGCGATATGTAAATTCCTACATAAAATCAAAAACATCTAATAGGACCCTAAAAAGACTAATAGAGTCCCAACTAGTGATACAGGGGAAATAACAGTAATGCTTAATGACTAATTTTCTATAGTCTCAGATGATGCTAACTTAGGATACTGGCCTAAAATTTCCACATAGAAATTTAGACCCTTTTTTGAAAAAAGGCGTTAAATTTGCTTCTTTCATTTTTTTCAGTTTGGCTAACATTTTTAGATGTTCAAACTGCATATTTTTCAATCTAAAAATGTCATCTTTAATAGGAGATAAATATGGTATATTCAGTAAATCTTCCGCTGTACAAACACTGCTAAAAAATCATTCAAATATTTTTAGAAATATCTTTGTCTTCATCTATTAAGACATCATTCACTTTCAGTTTTTTTTTAATGTGCTTTTTGGCATTTTTTACTGCTTTTTTACATTTCTTTTAACATTTTTGTATGCTTGCAAGTGCTCATAATCTTCAGTTTTTGTATAAACTTTCCATAGACTTCTTTTTTACGAACTAATCTCATCTGATTTTTTTGCATCCATAATGGTTTGGAATCTTTTTTACATTTCTGAATGGAACATTTTTTACACCTATTTCATCTAACTTACTTTTAAAAGTGTCCCAAAAGTTTTGGGTATCCAGGTTTACATAAAGTTCATTCCAGTTTAAATTAGCAATTTCATCATTTATACTTTGAAAATCAGCTTTTTTCCAGTCCTTTACTTTTTTTATTTTTTAACTTTTATTATACTAACTTTTACAAGAGAGTATCAAATTGTTCGAAGATTTACATGAATTCATTGTAGAGGGGGGTGGATACAGATATGGCATTGAACCTCATTAAACACAAAGCAATCGTATCATCATTACAATATCACGGACATTTTATCATTGCACTTGTTGTTAACTGGATATATATAAATATTGTAAACAAGTGTAGGATATTTCCATCCTTTCTAATCCGCGAACCTGACGTCACTGCTGGGCTGACATCAAGTGTACACTATCAAAACGGGAGAAAGCAATAGTTATAAAAACCGCCGATAGAGGGACAGAAAACGTAAAATTTAATTTAATTTAAATTTAAATAAACTAAGTACTTCAAAATTGATTATCAAACAAAAATCATGAAAAACGAAACATCCCTTTTTATGTGAATAATTTTTAAAAACGGGGATTATTTTAATTAATTGTGAGAAATAAGTCGTCTTCTCTTTTAACCGTCTGTAAAGCGCAAACGCCGCGTTCTGTTTATTTTATATAATATTAGTTTTTTAACAACAATCTTTTTCTGAATTAATATTCACGTTGCACTTTATGACCTAATGGTTAAGAAAAATACTCAGGTCAAACATGATCTAGATAAAAATTTACTTAAAATCTAATCATGGCATGTCATGAAAACAGTCTACGTGTGTTTATCATCAAAACTTAAAACAAACTTTTTAAAAAAATCTTATTTTATAAGGTATAAGGCGAAAATGTTTGTTTTATCTGAACTAAAGAACATCGTAAAGCTGCATCCTAGAGGGTTCGACAAATCTTTAGAGGTTAGTTTGAGGGGTTGATTGATAGCTATATTTATGTGGTTCTATGCGCTCCTCAAAGAAACACAATCTTTTAATACAGTTAGCAAACCGGTACTTACCTAGTATGTGATTTTAGGACCCGCCTTCCTCCCATCAATTTTGCACATAGATCTCATATGTAACACATGTCAATTGGTCATGTGGCTGCAGCGTCCGGCCCCCAAGCCTGTCTTAGCCGCGGCGCTCGGCCCCCTATCTTGTCCTAGCCGCAGCACTCGGTCCAGAAATTGTCTTAACCTAACCCTAAAATAATACAAAATAACTTATAATAGACTGTCCTAAAATAATAACCCTAAAATAATTACAAAATAACTTAAAATTAGTGGTCAGGCATAAAATTGATAGTGAATCCTTTTCTAGGAAAAAAACAAAATGTTTTAAAAGAAAATGATTTTGATCTGTGGTGTATGGTTTTAAGAATTTTTACAGTTAACCACCCTTCCCTTTTCCCAACAATTTTTGTTTTTAAGGATCAGATTAAGAACGAGTTAAACTATAAGTTGTCCAACAGAGTGATGATTAATGTTGGACTATGTATCTCACTCTTTGATATTCTTGAAGTTGGAGAATCACACATTCTTCCAGGTATTTTTTGTACTAATTATATCAATACAATGAAGACAATTTTTTTTAAAAAGTTTTGACTGTTAATAAGCTTTTATAGATTCAAGCAAAAAAACACTCCGCATAATTTACTCTAATCATTCCTATCAGCATACACAACATTGAGGATATTGGGAGAATTGGAAATAGTGATCATGTTATGATTTTATGTGATAAACAAATCAATATAACTGAACAAACTGTACCTTCCATGACTGGGAAAAAGCTAATATCATAGGTGCGAAGAATTTTCTTTACAATTTTTACTAAAATAACATGAGAAGAGAAGAAGAAACCCAAATAAACCTCTTTGGCTCAATAAGGAAATTATAAGACTATAGGCAAGATTAGGGCAAAAGTACAAAGTGACAAAATCCTTCTCAGATCTAGATGACTATAAAGTCTGCCGTAAACATCTTCAGAACACTATCAGAAACTCATAAAGAAATTTAGAGAAGAAAATTTCCCTTGATAATAAAAATCAGCGATATGTAAATTCCTACATAAAATCAAAAACATCTAATAGGACCCTAAAAAGACTAATAGAGTCCCAACTAGTGATACAGGGGAAATAACAGTAATGCTTAATGACTAATTTTCTATAGTCTCAGATGATGCTAACTTAGGATACTGGCCTAAAATTTCCACATAGAAATTTAGACCCTTTTTTGAAAAAAGGCGTTAAATTTGCTTCTTTCATTTTTTTCAGTTTGGCTAACATTTTTAGATGTTCAAACTGCATATTTTTCAATCTAAAAATGTCATCTTTAATAGGAGATAAATATGGTATATTCAGTAAATCTTCCGCTGTACAAACACTGCTAAAAAATCATTCAAATATTTTTAGAAATATCTTTGTCTTCATCTATTAAGACATCATTCACTTTCAGTTTTTTTTTAATGTGCTTTTTGGCATTTTTTACTGCTTTTTTACATTTCTTTTAACATTTTTGTATGCTTGCAAGTGCTCATAATCTTCAGTTTTTGTATAAACTTTCCATAGACTTCTTTTTTACGAACTAATAATCTCATCTGATTTTTTTGCATCCATAATGGTTTGGAATCTTTTTTACATTTCTGAATGGAACATTTTTTACACCTATTTCATCTAACTTACTTTTAAAAGTGTCCCAAAAGTTTTGGGTATCCAGGTTTACATAAAGTTCATTCCAGTTTAAATTAGCAATTTCATCATTTATACTTTGAAAATCAGCTTTTTTCCAGTCCTTTACTTTTTTTATTTTTTAACTTTTATTATACTAACTTTAAATCTTTACATAATCATAGAATGATCACTTGATCCAAGAGATTCACAATTTTCAACAACTATGATAAAATTAGGGTAACTTGACAATACTAAATCAGGCATAGTACCACTTCTATGTGTAGCAAATTCAATATGTTGGAATAAAAACAAATCATTAACAGTTTCAATAAAATCTTTACTTTTGTTAGAGCCGGACATACAGGTCTAGTTGATGTCGGAATAATTAAAATCACCAGTTATAGTTTAGACAAACTTCTCATGACATTACATTGTCTATTATTTTCTTTTTTATCATTCTCATTATTTAAATTGTGGGGTCGATAAAATAAAGCTATACATATCTGTTTTCGTTCAGTTTTAACAGAAATTACACTACATTGATTATAAGCGTCAATTAAATCAGATTTAAATTCAGTGGCATTGATATCGGTTTTAACAAAAACAATCCCAAGCATCAGTACACTATGAGTAATATCCCTATGATCAGTTCTTCAGAAGTGAAAGATGTTGGAGTACTGGTGACTGACAATCTAAAACCATCTAAAGACTGTGCACAGGTTGCTCAGAAGGCCAACCAAGTCTTAGATAAAATGACAAGACCCTTCCATTTCAGCGACCGTTTCACCTTTATTAGACTCTATGAACAATATGTTCGCTGTTATCTTGAGTTTGCATCCTGTGTCTGAAATCCATGGACTAAAGTGCATTGTTGTTTTAGAAAGAGTTGAAATAAGAGCAAATCACAAGATTAAATCAAGATAGTTTTAATCTTGCAAAACCTGTCACTAGACTAGAGATTAGGAAGAATTTTTTCTCGCACCTAGTCAGTGAGTTATGGAATTCTTTACCCCATGATGTTAAACATGCAAATAATCCTCTACAGTTTAAACAACTGTATGATAAGAATCATTGAGAATGGAGTGGCTGCTGATTTGAGAAAAACTATAGCAGACCACACATGAAGAAATCAAGACATTCTCAACATTCCTAGATGGAAGATGGAGAATTACCTCTCAAGGATCAAGTAAATAAAAATCTGAAAGATAAGCTCTTTTAATTGCAAGCTTCTCTTGACCTTTATGGTTATGGGTATCCATGCTGGATAACAGGTTGATATAAATCATAATCAAAAGTCGTCTTCATTGTATTGATATATGCGACGACGACTGTATTAGACCTTTGGCTTTTAGGACATTTCGCGCCATTTTTTCTTGTAATGATTTTAGATAATAAGGTTACTTTTTAAGTCGTCATCTTGATACATTTTTTTGTTTACATTGATAGAATTAAAAATAAACATCAGATGGCCGTTTTTTTTTTAGACCTCTCAAATTGGCTCGTTTGGTTGAGCCGCTTTAGAGTTTTTATTGGGTTAAAGCAGACAATCTAAAAAGCTAGTTTTATTAATGGGTGTGTTTGCAGCTGACAAAGGGAAGTTCTCATTACAACAATGTCAGCAATAAACCTGAATAGATGGCCGATATCAAAAACAACTGGAATAAATATAGAAACTCAAGAGCTGATATTAGAATACTACAAATTGCCTGATCAGCTCTCGAAACTGCATATTAACCCTCCTGGGGGGGCGGGGGTATGCAGCTAATTGAATGAGCAAAACAGGACAGCCAGGAAACAAGAAGATTGGAAAAATGAGTATCTGCAGTCTGCATTAAATACATGTATCAATTAATTTGTTTCATAAAAAAATTATAAATAAATAAATTGATAAAGTTAAAAATTAATGGGTGTGTTTTATTTTTGTTGAAAAGTTAGATTCAAGTGGTGGTTGGCAGGGGGTGCAATGAACGTTTTCTAGAACATATATGTACATGAATAAAAAACATAAAGCAAGCATTTGTATTTTTATCTAGGTGATGGCTCTGCCCATACGAAAGTTAGATTCCGGATGCTAGTTTTCAGGTGAAATATAATTAGAATTTTGCATTTTAATCAATACTATAGCCTCATCAATGGAATTTTTGAGTTTTTAATGTAACCCTTTTTTATCCTTTTTTCATGGGTGTTTATGGGTTAATCACTTATTTTCCATTGTCTAATTGTTTTCAAAGTAAAATTAGGACTTTCACCCTTGACAATTTTTCCCTACTTTTCTTTCCATTATCTTCCCCCAATTTAATTATATTCCTACTGCAGACCCTGCAAAGAGGAGGTGTTGGTTGGTAAAATCAAATCCTGTTCAAGAGAGGGCGTCACCGTCACGCTCGGCTTCTTCGACGATATTTTCATCCCGGGGGATTGCTTGCAACATCCCTCCAGGTTTGTGCCATAGTTAGTGATAGGCTATAATTTGGCTCGTTTTTGTAGAATTAATAATGCTCTTGGCACACCACTAACAGCTAAAAGATATGAAGCGGAAAAATGAAACAGAAATCGAGCGTTTTAAAATGATCGTTAAAAACATTAAAAGTTTTTACTCCTCACCAGTTTCAGTGATCAACATAAATTTACAAATTGATATTGACTTGTCTAGGCATTCATTGTTAAATTCAAAATTAGGTTTCAAAAAAAGATCTTCATCCCAAAATAGTAATTGGCAAATGTATAGCTCTACCATTATTATAAAAAACAAACAAAAAAATGCTATTCATGAGATAAAAGGGATGAAATTAAAAGCAATTGAAATTCCAATAATATTCTATTTTTATTGATGTTTTACATGTCTGAAAATATTTTTTTTAATCGTAAAATTTTTAGGACACGTGTTAAAAATCGTTGAGAGATTGTCATATGTTTAACATTGCAAAATAAAAATTTAAATAAAATGAGTAACGAAGAGAAAAAGATTTAAGATATCGTTGTTTTTAAATCTTAAAAACAGATCAATGCTGTCAATTTCCTTCATCATCTGTGCTGCATAAATCCTCAACTCACATTCACTTAGAAACTGCAATTCAACATTAACAATTTTTAGCTAGAAAAAAAGGATATCTTCTTTATTTTTGCTCAGATAAAGTTGGAATTTAGACTCGATCTTTAGAATAAAGAGTCACTTAGAATAACGTGAACTGTCCCTTTAACCCAGTATTGTTGTGTAGGTATGAGGAGAATGAGAGTGTATGGGTGTGGGAGTATCCTGTAGAGGACGGACACCATGATATGTTTCTTGATCCTGGTGAACAAATAAGGTTTAGAGTCGTCTCAGAGACATTTACAGGTATAACCAGGGTCGTTCCGAGCCCGGGGGATATGTTTCTTAAACCTGGAGAACAAACTAGATTTTGTACATTTTAAAACAAATAATATTTTAGATTTGGGACCCAAACAGGAGAATAGTGAACAGGAGGGCCAGCAGGTAACAAAAAAAACTAGATCATCCATTTTGCATGTTCTTAGATCTTAGTTGATTTTAATTGAAAAGAGTTTGATTTTATAAATTTAAAATAACTTAATCAAGTTAATTGCTAAAAAAATGGTTATCAGACCGTTAAATAGTTAATATCCGGCGAAATGTCAATGGCAGTAAATATTAAAATGTCTGAAGATTATATTTTATACCAGGAAGAACGATTACCGCCGTATGCTGTTACTGCTACGATAAACGAGCCTGGATTAGGTCTACTCTCATGGTGGAACTAGAACATATTCTCATTCACGATTTCAAATTAGAAATATCTTGAACATGTAAAAATTTCACGGTTAAATGTAATAAAAGGGATTGTAAGTGTAATTTCAAGTTATGCTTCATGCAAAGATGGTAATGCCCGATTCACAATAGTACCCTTATGTGGGAGATATTGTCGTTTTCCTAGCTTGAAAATGTTTAATCGTGAAAATGTTCTGTATGTTTTCATGCAGAAGTCACAATTGAAAATAAATAGTTATCAAAATCATAAACATTGATATTTAATTCAGGCTTGATCAGTTTTTAAGGTCACTGTGGTGAATTGGGCATTGTCATCTTTGCATGAATTGTCACTTAAAATTACGCTTACAGTCCCTTTAATGTTTCACATTTTTATATTTATATAATATATATGGAATGAAAATGTGCTAGATCTTTTTATATGGAGATTTTTTTCAATTTCATAAATTCATCCTTCCAAGTTTCATAAGAATTCGCAAGGCTTTAAATCTTTAAACTTTCATGTTTCACTTTTTTACATTCATATATATGGAAGGAAAACCTTTCATGGAGAATCCTTCCAAGTTTCACAAGAGTTCTCAAGGCTGTGATTGTTTGTGTATTTTTATGTACTTCAAGTTTTTTTATTGTTTTCAGAAGAATGCTTAGTTTAGGTCGAGGGTTAAGTTGTATTCTTAGAACTGGAAGCTTTCCACCATCTTTACCTGTTAGGTAATTACAGAGGATTCATCGATTGATCAGGTCACTGATTTGCTGATTGATTGAGTGTTTGATTAGATTGTTAGATTTGTTGCTTGGCTGATTTATTTTTTGTCTGGTTATGGTGTAAGGGATTTAGTGATTGTATAATTAATTAATTTACTTTTTGATTTATTGAGTTATTAATTGATATAATGTTTTATTGAATAAATGATGGATTGATTGATTAATTGATTTCCTGACTAACTAATAAATTCATTGATAAATTCATTGATAACTTTTTCGGTGATGGATTTATTGGTTTCTTACTGACTGATTAATCGCTGTTCATTTATTGATTAATTGATGGCCGGATCGATTGATTGATTAATTCAATTGCTGGCAAATTCTTTTATCCATTTAATGGCTACCTGATGGATCGATTTTTATATCAAGTGATCGACTGACTGATAATTGATTGCTCCAGTTAAATGCTTAAATGATTTAATGATCGGTTGATGTTTCATGATGATTGGGTGTAGTTTTGATAAATGTAATGTAATATTTAAAAAGTATATTTGATATATGAGATTTAGATTGAGTTATTTTAGTGAATGATACTTTTCGTTGATTGAATTTATTAAATGATTTATTTAGATTTTTTACTGAGGGACTAATAGTAATTGATTGATTGACTAACATGAATCGTTTGATTCTTCTGAATGATTAATTGACATGTTTAAACTGATTAATTCATTGATTATTTAATTGATTAGAATGGTGAGATGTGGCGGATTAATATTACAATCTTCGCAGTGTAAGAAGATAACTAGCAACAGAAGGGAAAACATGTTTTAACACAGATTCACTTTTTTATTGCGTTACTAAAATATTAAAACTTTTTCATAATTTTGCAAAGATAATATTGATTTTGTTTATTCGGAGCACAAGTTTCAATGCAATATAAAGTATTAAAATGAAAAATTAAATCTAATTTTTTAAGAAAAGTATATCTTTATGGCCCCCCCTTTAGATGCTTCAGAAACTATCTCAAGAACTGACGACGGTCAACCCAGACCGAAATATATTTTCAATAAATGTGGAAGTATCATTTCCTTTTTAACTTTACAGAGGTTTGGTCCATCACCATCACCGAATTTTAAATAAAGTTAACAAAATAAGAGTTCAAGTGTATTTTTTATAAACTAAATATAAACTAAATATCCATAAATTGTTTTCAACTCAGATTAATGTCAGTATCCAGTCCTTACTCTCATACAAACACAGGTAAGGATATTATTTTAGAAAAATAGATGTTCTGAAATATAGAATTATTTGAAATTTAGACGTTGTAGATTCATCTAGTTCTTCTGATCCCTTCATCCTTCTCCACTCAGACTTAAGGTACATTATTTGCAGGTCTTAATGCCCAAAAAATTCATTATGCAGTTCATGGTTATGAAATGAAAAAAAAATTTATTTCGACTTAATTTAATCTTTAAATTAAGAAAAAATTTATTTTAATAAACATCGCTTGTATTGTTAAAAATTTGATTCTGCTTTTTTTCAGCTCGGTGATGCAAGAGATCCACGCAGAACTACTAAGAGATCTTACAAGGTAAAAAGTGTTGAGTGTCGTCTTCGCTTTTATAATAAATGCCATTAAGGATTTTGCGTTTGAAACTGATAAACCTGAGAAAAAAGTATCTTTTGTCCAATTAGCAAAGTAGAAGATAAAGTGCGATATAATAATCTTTTTTATATTAGTACAATCTTGATGTATTTTTTGTGTGAAGTATTTAACAGGGAACATCGAACATGTTACCCCCCCCCCCCCCGTGGCGGCGATGGGGGGGGGCGTTTAATGAGCCTTTCTTTACAGATTTCTTAATTTTGTTTTTATTAGTGAGAGTGAGCTTGGTGAAATGTCTCTTTATTATTTTGATGGAAAAGGAAAATCTTTGCGACCCTTGATATCTTTGTGCATCGGACATGCTTATAATTTACATACTAACAGGTATTTATGTTGTTATTCTTATTCTTATACTTATTGTTTTTAGGTTTAACAATATTCCATATATGAATTAGTAAAAGCAAACACAGCAATGTGCATTCTAATTTTTCGCAAACACTCTCTTTAATTCTCTTTTTTTAACTAATGTAATCTTTTTTTAGATCAGACCAAGAAGCATTAAGTAACCAGAGAAAAGTTGCTCTAATTAGGTCAGTTAACCGACATTTTGTAATCAGCCAATTCTTAGTCAATTAACCTATAATCCCTGTTCCATTACTGGATTAATATATTTTTCTTAAAGAAACTGTAAGCGTAATTTCAAATGACCCTTCATGCAAGGATGGCAATGCCCGATTTACAACGCTACCCTTGAAACTTTAATATGGTCAGAAATGTAGAAGATACAGTCGTTGCACACAATTCTGAAATGAACCATCAGGTTTTAAGTCTAAACACCTCAAATTTTTCTTTGGAATATTTTTATATGCAGTCTACTGAGCTCTAATCTCAAGTTTCAGAAAATGCCACCTAGTGGTTTTTGAGTAAATCCATTTTTAAGAAATAAAGTGCATTTACAGTTCTAAAATCATATATATACGACTTTGATCTGCGTCCTGTGTCTATGTTTTTAACCATGATTAACAAATTTTGGAACTTTTCTTAAACAGCCAAAAGACATATTGTAGCAAAAGATCAAAGCTCTAAGTCAACTGCCTGACTGTTTAAATGCAGCATACAAAAGTTTTTTTATGTGATTTTTACTGATTTCCCTTCAAAAAGACTCTTTTAGGCAGTATTTAGGCAGTCATTAAGTTCACATAGGGCTTTGATTTTTGCTAAAACATGTCTTATAACTGTTACGGAAAATTAAAAAAATTTGGGGACTTTGCCATTTACGGTTCTATAAAAATCTTTTAAAAAAACGCAGAAGAAGCCAAAAAAATACAGTTACGTTTTATTTTAGAACCTGAAAATGCACTTGATTTCTACAATTTAATCAATTCATTAGATTTCCTCAATATTCCCTAGGTGGCATATTCGGAAACTTTAGAATATAACTCAGCAGACTGCAAAAAAATATATTCCAAAGAAAAAATTTAGGTGTTTGACTTGCTACCTGATGGTTCATATACAGCAGTGTGTGCAGTGCAGAATATAAAGATGGATTTCATGATCTGTTGTTCGAATGTAGAAGCACGAATTAATCTTAATTTGTTCAACTGATCCGAGAAAATTCTGAGATTACATTCAGTTTTTTAAAGTTAGTGAAATGATCCATACTTCCTCTTTAATCCATAATATTTAGTGAAATGATTCATACTGCCTCTTTAATCAAGAATATTTAGTGAAATAATCCATACCTCCTCTTTAATCCAGAATATTTAGTGAAATGATCCATAGTGCCTCTTTAATCCTTAATATTTAGTGAAATGATTCATACTGTCTCTTTAATCCATGATATTTAGTGAAATGATCCATACTGCCTCATTAATCCATAATATTTAGTAAGATAATCCATACTGCCTCTTTAATCCATAATATTTAGTGAAATGATCCATACTGCCTCTTTAATCCATAAAGTTTAGTGAAATGATCCATACTGCCTCTTTAATCCATAATATTTAGTGAAATGATCCATACTGCCTCTTTAATGCATATTATTTAGTGAAATGATCCATACTGCCTCTTTAATCCATGATGACATTTTGGATCACGCAGAGTCAAGGCGGGGAAAAGAAAGTATAAATCTCAAGTAAGTTTTGTTTTGAACAAGTTTAGAAGATAAATTAAAATAAAATAACCTGTTGATATCGTAGGAATTATAAAACTTTGGAATAAGAAGACGACATTAATGAAACTTAATTTGTATTTGACGTTGTTGTAAAGCAAAGAGCTTTACCAGGAGCTTAAATCAACCTTAAATGAAATGTGTAAATTGCACAGTTTCAGGTTTCATGTTTATCGACCTTGATACCTTGAGTCAAAATAGTCGTCTTCATATTCCAGATTAATTGGTTCCACTGTAGGCAACTTCATTTTTCTATTCTTTTATTCTAACAGTTAAAACCTATAGAATTTGTAAATTAAATACTGCTATTATTTCAATCATATTTTACTAGATTGGGAACCGGGAACCCCGCTTTGCCTTTGAGTTTTCCCCAAAAGTCAACCAATTTAACCTGGAACTTTTTAACCAAGCCAAGAACATTCTATAGTGGTTTTACCGAGTTCCCCGATCAAATCGGTCAAAGGTTTATGACCAACATACAAAGCTTAAATCTAAATACCCACCAAGGATTTGACTTGAGATTTTACTGTAACTATCTGTTTCCTTGTATTCATGATTCCCTGCAATTGTAAGACATACAAATATTATACAAGGCAGAAGATTTAATTTAACCTTGAAATCGTCTTTACAGTCTCATCCTTAGTGGGTAGCCCTGTATATATCTTTAATTGAATACTATTTAAGATGGAATATAAAAAAATCTACACTGGCTGGTGATTATGTTCTTGGCGTCGGATCAAAATTATTATCCAGTATTCAGAACCCTGATGTTGTACAAATTCTTTCTCAGGTTTGTCTAGTAGATTTATGTACATTCTGATTTGATTTGATAACATACTATACTTTTCAGTGTGCACTATGCATTCATTGTACATTGTATAGTGAACTGTTACTATGAATTTTATTGTTTCAGGGGTTAATTTTTTTTTGGTCCTTCCCCCCTCCTTCCACACTTTTTTTAGGGTTTTATCCGCTGAATTTGGGAAATATACGGTTTTTAGGGCAAACCAAATTAAGTTTGGGTGTTCAAGGTTTAACAAATTTGACCTCCGATGTTTAACTTTTATTTTTTTCTCCAGAGCATCAACAATTATTTATCCCATTCCTTGTTTAAAAATATACACGTAATCCAAAATATTTAAAGTGATACAAAACGTCTTTGACGCCACATCGTTATGTTGAGTACAACACAGTGGGTACGTTCACGGTACCTTATTTTTTTCTGCTACGGTACGCTTATAAATGAACACTGTACAGCGTACCATGTACAGACTTAAAAATACATGTACTCTAGGTGTTGGCGGATTTAGTAAAAGGAGAATTCATGCAGCTACAAACAAAGGTATTCATATTGTTCTTTATTGATAATTATTTGCTTTAAAAATAGTTTTGTTTACATTTTTAATCAAACTTATTCAATTAGAAATTAAAAGAAATATTTTTAAAAACTAGAGAAACTAAGACTCCTAAAAATACATCGTAAATATTTTATGATTGAAGAATGATATCATTATTAATATTTTTTACATTGTTGTTGATTTTGTTATTATTGTGTTTACTACTTATTGTTTTCTCTTTTCCTGTTCTCATATCATTTTGTTTTTCTTATTTTACTAAAATGTCAAAAATAATAATTATAAAAACTATTTAAAGGAAGAGAAAGGGGAAAGATTTACTGATTATTTGAATAAAAGTTTCAATAAGACTGCTAGTCTCATGGCTTACAGTTGCAAGGTAAACTTTCACATTCTTTTCTATTCATAATTTTTTTTTCTTATAATTGCTGAAAAAATGTAAATATGCTGATACGGACAACTAAACAATATAAATACAAGTAGTGTGATACTTGAAAACCAAATCTTTTATTGAGTGTAAAAACAAGAGATGAAAAGTTTTATTCATTTGTGGAGAACCTTAGTTCTATTGATAAGTGAAAATGGATTTAATTAGACATTAGCTTTCCAGAGCTGGGGCCTTTTGAATTATGGATATCGAGACTCAATCTTTTGTTAATCTGCAGATTTATTAAATCCTTATTCTATATCCTACATGGTAATCGTGCCCAGTCAGGAGGTAAAGGGAGCTTTGATCAGGGGAGGAAAAACTAAAATGAAGAGAAGGAAAGATATTGTTTTTTAGATCCTCAAATTTCAAGTGCCGACAGTGGATATTAAGATCAAGATCGGTATTTTAAGAAACTAAAACAAAGGTTTCCAGCTCTGGCTTTATTCAATTAATTGCTTCTAATAGTTGAAACTATGTAGCTGTAATTAAACCAGTTCAAGTTGGTTGACGAGAAGTGGTTGAACTAAGTCTACTTAACTTAGTCTCGTTATTAACTAAATATGTTTAGGCAAACGTAGTTTTATCTGGGGGAAACAAAGACGACATTGAGAATAGTTTCCAATATGGTCGGAATATTGGGATTGCATTTCAGCTTGTAGATGATCTTCTAGACTTTGTGTCAAGTGCGGATATGCTTGGTGAGAAATATTTTTTAGAATTGTATTTTGATAAACTATTGGTCAATTGATAGGAAAGGATGCTAAATTTAAAGAATTTTTAAATATTTTTTTTAAGATGGTTGTCGAACCATTTTTTACTTATTTGTCAGTTTCATAATTTATTGATATATTGATTGATTGATTGATTGATTGGTTAGATGATTGATTGTTTAAGCTAGTAAATAATGGTAAGGCCACAATTAGTTTGTTAAATGATTGATTGATTGATTATATAGACCTACAGCTAGCACTGGCAATTCTGTTAGCTAACTTATTGGTTGGTTTATACTTTATTGATATATTTACTTATATTGATTAATTGATGTATTAACTCAATGATTGATTTATTCATTAGTTGTTTGGTTCATTAATTCATTAAATGATTGAATTATTGGTTAAACCATTTGATTAATCGATTGATAAAAGAAACCAGCTACGGCTGACCTACAGCTACTCGCAATTCCGTTAGATAACACTTTGGTTGGGTTATTGATTGAATTTGTTATTGATATATTGATTTTTTTCGTTGATGATTTATTGATTTTCTGGACCGGACGTAAGGGAACTAATAATTAGTCCTTGCAATGGTGCTAGTTAATTAATTTATTTATTTGTTGCTTGATTAATTGATTCATTGAATGATTGATTGATTGACCAGGTAAACCAGCTGCGGCTGACCTACAGCTAGGACTGGCAACTGCTCCAGTTCTTTTTGCAGCACGACGGTTTCCAGAACTTGAACTTCTTATTAATCGAAGGTTTAACCAGGTAATGAAGGACGGTATATAATAACGTCAGGACCACTTCGTTTATGTGAAAAACATCAATTTTTATAATAAAAGAGTTTAAATATACAGTTTCTTTGATAATTTTAACGGAAGACGTTATTCAAGGCTTTATTTTATTATTTTTTCATAAACCAGTATATAGGATAAATACTTAAATAATTATTGAATTACAGTGAATCCCAGACATATGAATACGTATAGCAAGAGTTTTTTATGTCGTATTACATATTTAAGATCAAATGCCACGGAAAAATGAGTTTAATCAATTGTATTCATATTTCAGGGCTATTTATTTACCTTGAATTAAAAACAAAAAGAAGTTTATTTACAATTATCAAAAAACTTTTGACGGTCTATTTATTCATATATCTGGGATTCACTGTATAAAAATTATGAAAAATATTTAGACCGGGGATGTGGAGAAAGCGTTTAGTTTAGTCCTTAAGTCAACTGGTTTAGATGAAACAAAGAGCTTAGCTAGAACTCACTGTAATAAGGTAATTCTACTTTCTTAAAGAGGTTCTCTCCTAATTTTTAAATTTAAATGTATTTTTTTCAGGCTGTTCTCGCACTTCGTGATCTGAAGGACTCCGAGTACAAGGCTGGACTTATTCATCTCTGTGATAAAGTTTTAAATAGAATTAAATAGAAAACGTGCTTCAGGAGTGGTAACAGCTGATTTTGAAAATAAAATGTCGGATTCTAATAGTCCGCTGATCCTGGGCATCAGCTTTTTTTTTGGAAGTAAAATGTTTGAATCTTAAAGTCAGTTGATTATGGCTGATCCTTTCAATCAGCTGATTTTTTATGGTGGATTCCAGAAGCCAGCTGATCAAATGGTGTCTGATGAGTGATGGTTCTACACAAATACTGAGTTCATCATTCTTGATCTCAAAAGATTTTAAGTCAGCTGCTCTTTGGCGTCATCTGATATTGAAAATAAATTGACGGATTCTTAAGTTAAATGGTGGATTGACAAGCAGCTAAATATCTCCTTCATTTCTACTTTCTTCAGAACTTCCATCATTTATAGCTGATTCCCACTTCAAGGTTGATTTTATCAACTGGTTGTTTTTTATATTACAAATCATGAAAATAAAATAATACAATGTCAAAAAATAATGTACCTGTTACAAGTAAAAAGAAATTTTGTTTATTTTGTTTTGTGATTTCACAAAACATTTTTTGCTCAAAATTTGCACAACTGGTGTAAATACTAAATATGTCCTTAGTTAGTTTTAAAAAAATGTTTGTTTTCAAAAGTTAAAATAAAATTGTATGCCTATTGATCTCCAATGGCATCAACCAACATTATAAATTTCATGGACAATGAAAATAATTTGTTTAAGTAAATCTCATGCAGAATGAAAAATAATTATAAATTTTAGATATTAAAAAATGGGAACACTTTCTTATCAGAGATTTGTGGAAGAAGGAGAAGACCTAGGGATATAATTTATTTGATAAGAGACTATATTCAGAGGCGTTGTCAGAGGGGGGTAAGCTCAACCCCCCCCNCAAATTCCTGACTTCGCCCCTGACTATATTAGTTATAACGTTTAATGACTACATTTAACAATATGTATAGTTTGCAATGTTTTATAAAAGATGCTGAAAATCTAATATAACCAAACTTCTTTAAGAGACTAAGACAAAATTAGATAAAACTCGATAAAACGATTTGATTAGAAAAAAATCATCATTATTATATATATTAGTTAGACCCACAAAGTCTGTAGAATGGAAAGACGACCGTTAAAATTTTAAATAATCCATTAAACTTGAAACTATGCAGTGTAGACAGGTCCATTTAGATATTAAAGTTTATTTTCAAGTTCAGCTATTTCCAAAATACATGATAGAAACATCGTATATATATATTTTTATTCTTCCTATTACACGTTTTATGGCAAATTGATCCTACTATATAAGCAAGAAAAAACAACACGAACTACTACACAGGCTCTACGAATTGAGTATTTTTTATGTGGCACTTTCCTAAATTTAAATCTAACATAAATATTATCCCCTCAGTTAAAAAAATGTCCAAAAATGGAGAAAAAAACATCTGCTATGTGAACGGAGATAGGGAAGAAGGAGGTTATTTGAAGATAGAACGACTTCTTGTTGTTTCTGCTTCAAAACAGGAGAATAAAGAAATACATGAAGATTCAGGTGAAAAATTTTCTAAACGTTATTGGTTTCGATTTTAGTCTTTCACACAGTATCACAGGGTGTTAGAGTTTTATTCTACTAGGCTGAGATAAGATAATATATAGTTTATTGCTAATAATTTTTTACTATATTTATGTAATAATAGCAATTAGGTGGAGATTAGATTTTTGCTTTTTTGGGTATTATCCCCACCTAATTATTATTAAAACATTTACAATATGATAAATATTACTAGGTTTTGAAAGGTTACAATAAGTCAGGGATTACTAGTTAAATTTAGAGAGACCGAGGTGCAGCATAATAAAATAATTGTTTTTTTTTCAGTTTAGTACGTTTAACAAAATAAGATTAAGCATGTACAAAAATCTACAAAGTTCTATATTCATTTTTTGCAAGAATAACAAAAGTGTTTATTACACTTTGAAATGTAGGTGTCGGATAACATTTTAATATTAGGCGTCTTCTATCTCAACTTTTAATTGTTTCTGAATCTTTCAGCATTTTCTCTTTGTGGATTTTCAAAATTTTTACTAAAGTAAAAAAATATGGAGACAATTTTTTGTAATTCTGAGCATCCATAACCCTTCCCTTGGGTCAAGTGAGGTCCCACAAAAAAATTGTGCCCGATCAGTTCAGCAATTTGACGTTTATCGGTTACAAAGAAACAGACAAGCAAAATACGTATATATATATAGATTTTGGATTACCAGGTTTACCAGTAATATTATTTATTTCCCAAAATAACTTACAGTAAAGCCCTTAAAATTATGAGTTATACTTATACTGCTGTTTTACGTTTTTATTGGTCATATCGTATTTCTGAAGAGCTTATTTTCAAAGAGGGTTGACTTTTCTAATGAAAATTAGGTTTTTTATACATATATTTACAGGCTGTTAATTGGCTAAGCAAACAAATTCTGAAAAATTTAAAATCCAAGGATTTAATATGAATTTATTTTGAAGAATGTTTTGATGCTTCTGTTATTGAGGAAGATGAAAACTCAGTCGAGATAAATGGAAAGAGAGAAAATAAAGATTACCTGGGGGCTGAATACCAAGGAATAACATTAAACAAAGGGTCTTTGCTTTTTCATCTCAAAAATTCTATATCTCACATTCAAATTAAAGTAATTTTTGATTTTATTCATTCTTTTTTATTTGAATTGTTAGAATTTCAACTTTAAATGTAAAAAATGACAATTTTTTATGAATTCAAATCGTCATTTTGCCCCAAGTTTCAGTGATGTTGTTTAGTGCATTACAGTGCTGCGTACTCAGTTCCTCTTTTTTTAGCACGCTTCTATACATCTTCCGGTCAAACTCTACCTTTAGACAAAGTATATAAGGTAAAGCCCCCCCTCCCTCGTCACCCTTTTCTGTCAAACTCTACCTTTAGATATAGTATATAAAGTAAATTTTTCCGTTCAAACTAGACCTTTACACATGATATTTAAGGCCCCCTCCCCTTTCTGGTCAAATTCATTTCGACACAATGTTTTGGGTTCCCTTAACGTGATTAAATGGCAGGTGTATACAAGTTTATGAATTTAAGAAATATCAAGATAATTTTTTGAACCCTTGGAGAAAAAATTAAAATGGACCTACACTGGAACGCGCTAAATGCTCCTTATTTTATTGTTTTTAATAACAAATTCAGCGATGTTATAGATTAGATACAAAGAAGCTTAGAAAATATAGAACATTACTTTTGCTAGAAAAAATAGTTTGAAATGATTACACAGTCAGGTTATAAAGACATAGGGATTTTAATAAAGAGTTTGTGGCGAATAATCAGTTCTTTTTTTCCTGTAGGAGCTGGGACTGAAGCTTGATCGGTTCAGTTTAAACGAAATATCAGTCTCCCCTCATCCTCTGGAGGACACCCCTTGGATTCAGGTAACCAAGGGATTTTCCGCCCATACCTCATTGTTTACATGTGAGACAAGACGAAGGACGCGTGATCAGGATTAAGTTGACATTATTTTGATATTTATTTGATTTTTTTTTAATTAGTAATTTTAATACTTTTTTGAATTTCTCTGTATTTAGATCCACCCCTGTAAAACCGGAAGTATAATGGCCCAAATTATGCTACAGGAATCAAAGCATTTTCTAATTTAAGTCTCTAATTCTATTTATGCCAAAGTATGGTAATTTTTCAGAAAATCTTTTTTTAGTAACCCTTTTATATGACTTTGCAAAATTCTAATATTCTCTTGTTTCTTAATATAAGTTTTTTCATAGTTTTCATTGGCCATAGTCAATTTAAAATGCCTTTGTTTAGAACGAGCTTGGAAATTATCTCATTGGATTTCTTAGTTTCTACGGTCAAAGTTTAGGACTCATTCTCGATCCTAAGCTGGCCAAAGTTTAGGACTTATTCTTGATCCTAATTTCGCCAAAGTTTAGGTCTTATTCTTGATCCTAAGTTGGCCAAAGTTTAGGACTTATTCTTGATCCTAAGTTGGCCAAAGTTTAGTACTTATTCTTGATCCTAAGTTGGCCAAAGTTTAGTACTTATTCTTGATCCTAAGTTGGCCAAAGTTTAGGACTTATTCTTGATCCTAAGTTGGCCAAAGTTTAGGACTTATTCATGATCCTAAGCTGGCTAAAGTTTAAACTTATTCTTGATCCTAAGCTGGCTAAAGTTTAAACTTATTCTTGATCCTAAGCTGGCCAAAGTTTACTTATTCTTGATCCTTAGTTGGCCAAAGTTTTGGACTTATTCATGATCCTAAGTTGGCTAAAGTTTAAACTTATTCATGATCCTAAGCTGGCTAAAGTTTTAACTTATACTTGATCCTAAGTTTGCTAAAGTTTAGAACTTGTACTTAATCCTGCAGTGTACAGATACATGGCCAATGGATTTTCAATTGAAAGAAAAAAGAGCAAAATGGCAGACAAGAAAGAACCCAAGAAGAAGTTGCTAAGAGAGAAGTAAAGTAGAAGAAGATTGATAACGGCGGGGACATGACCAGTTGTATAAAATCTAATCCAGTACTGGAGGATATTTTCTCCTTAATTTCGAGCCAAGATCAACTAGATTAACCAGAGGAAATGTCCAGACTGAAGGACGTGCTTCCGGCATGTTGCTGTGAGGGAGCAGATGATTCTCCCTGGTATACCCAGCTGAGACCCGCCACTAACCCGGAGCAACTCAGGGAACCATTCGAGAAGAGGTTGGGTTTTGGACTAATTCTTGATTTTAAGCTGGCCAAAGTTTATCACTTATTCTTTGTTTTGAACTGTCCAAAGTTTATAAAGCATTCTTTATTCTCAGCTGGCCTAGAACCTGACGTAACCCTAACTTAAAAGTTTATTGATTTGTTTTTTTTTCTGTAAGTACAAATACAGTGAGACCCATAAATTGTGGAATAGGAAGACGACATTTAAGCAAAATTATGTGTATTTTATGTTGTTCAGGAGTAAATCAACTTATTAAGTGAAATGGGTATGTTTACACTGAACAAATCAAATAAAATCAAATATAATTTATTCGGCTCATCTTAAATTTAATAACAAAATTTATGAAACATATTTAAACAGAAGTGCTGAGCGTGAAAAGCTGTTTTAACAGTGCCCTTCTCTTTGGCGAATGTAAATATTTGACTTGGTACGGATGGCGGAAGGGATAAGGACGATAGCGGAGCCACGGCGGAGTTTACATTATTAGTAAACTTAACCTAGATAGCATGAAGCAGACAGAATCTAGAATCATAGGCTATCAAAAAGAATTAAAAATCACTTAAAATGTTACCAATGATAAATCAGATCTTTTTGAATATTTGAGCATACGTAACAGAAAAGAAGAAATATCTTTAAGTTGATTGGGCAGATTATTCCAATGGGAAGGATTAAAAAGGAAAATGCTTTACAAACTTGGTGTTTGCAAGAGGTACGAAAAAATCTCGGTATCATTTCTAAATATATAATCATGAATTAAACTTGGTTTTTCAACAATTTGAAGTTTTAAAAAGAGTTTGGCAAGTATTAATGAATAAATGCATGAATGTGAATTGTTTTTGCTGAATAAGTTCTGGAAGGGGTAAAATATTTAATGATGCAAAAATGGGTTGGGTATGTGCATTGTGCAAAGTGCATTATACTTTTCTTTCTGAATTATTCTCAATGCTGTTTTCTGGCATTTTATCAACAAATTTATATTTGTTTTGCTAGTGCAGCTGATAATTGGAATACATACAGTACATTAGAGGGTGATTACGAACATGATAAAGAGATGTAAGTGCAACAGTAGGCAGGAAATGTTTAGCGTTGTTTTAAATATAAGGACAACTTTTCAAATGGTAATAAAATAAAAAAAACTTTGGTCTAAAGAAACTCCCAAGATTTTAAAAACTGGAATTTTAGAAGTATTAGAGATTTTTTCATTGGGATAGATAAGTTCCAGAATATTAGACGAACCAATATCATTTTTATTAAATGACAAAAACACGTCATCGGGAACACGTTTACCCTTAGGTTGGAAAATCATTACAATTGCTGTGCTTTATGTTTTTTTTTTTATATTTAAAATCTAAATTTGAGTCCAACAGTCTTCATATTCTGCAATTTTTTGAGGTTCACTGTAGGAGGAAAATCTGTTTTCTGTTTATTTTGACTTTAGTCCTTTTGAACATTAGTCCAAAAGAGCGTCGTGCAATCGATCATTAGTCCTTGTGACACCTTCCTTACTTCACACTGAGTCCTTATTCATCGTCAGATACGATCCATTAAAACCCAAGCAGACAAGAGTAAGTGGCTGGAGCAGAGCTTTATCCTGGTGTGTAACTTATTCTGTGCGTGGACATGATACTTTGACTGTAGGTTCAATAGTAATAATAATAAAAACTTATCTGTGATATTAATAAAGTTATAAGTTAACTGCAGACCTGATCTCGCATAAAGGGACTGTCCTTGTAATTCACTTCAATTTAAAGAGAGACATTCATTATTCACAGCAGTACCATTTAAACCTAAATCTGATCAACAAGATGGAAGATATCGTCATTTTCTAGAGTTTTTATTTTAACCTTACTAAAAAGTTATCATTTTTTAAGGGAGAAGATGAGTCTCTCATTCACTCTCAATCAGGCAACGTATTTAAGGGCACCGTTGTAAATCGAACATGCCATCTTATAAATAATACGTCCACAGTCCCTTATGAGATACATTTTGTTTTTACAACATGATAATTTCAGATTTGTTTACTAATGTCGTTTAGTATACTTGAACTATGTTTTCCATTGAGAGAAAAGAAAACTGAGGAGTTATTTCAAGAAAACTCGTTTTTTTCCCAAGACCCGGTGGGATTCTACAATCAAAGGTCAGCTAGGTTCGAGCACTTTGTTTACAAAGGATTCGTTTGGATTCAAGTGAACTTATAGAACAGTTCTACTGCTAGGGTTATTTTTAGAAAAATGATCGACCATACTGACATTGAGGAACATCTTCAAGTGTCCTTAAGATTGAAAAAAAAACAGAAGGGGGGGGGGCATCAAACATCAACTTGATTGCATTAAAAGACAATATTTTTTATGTTAAGATCTGTTATGTCTGGACTGGTATTAAGTGATGTGAACACAAACCACCTTGTTTATCAGGGTAAGGAATCAGCTAGTGTGTTTATCAGGGTAAGGAATCAGCTAGTGTGTTTATCAGGGTAAGGAATCAGCTAGTGTGTTTATCAGGGTAAGGAATCAGCTAGTGTGTTTATCAGGGTAAGGAATCAGCTAGTGTGTTTATCAGGGTAAGGAATCAGCTAGTGTGTTTATCAGGGTAAGGAATCAGCTAGTGTGTTTATCAGGGTAAGGAATCAGCTAGTGTGTTTATCAGGGTAAGGAATCAGCTAGTGTGTTTATCAGGGTAAGGAATCAGCTAGTGTGTTTATGGATTATTTTATCTTTTCCTGATTTCCGGGATTTTTTAATCAATTATATTATTTATAAGGTCACTCTCTTAAAAATCTTTTTTTCTAATCTTTATTTATATGCAAATTGATGTGTAAAACTTGAAAGTCTTGAACTATGAAAACTGTTAGATGAAGTAATCATAGTGTGAATATCTGGTTGTAGTTGTATAGGGATAAGAAAATTAAAGTTTGAGGGGATCAATTTCTTTTTGTAGATAAACAAAACTTTTAAACCATTCAGAGTCCATAGGCAAGTCAAATTCACAGTTGTACAAATCATATGTTTTTAAAAGTGTGTTAGGTGAAAATTCTCAATTTTCTTCTTAGTCTATTTTGTTTTGTTATGAACAGATTACAAATTAGAAATTTTTTTCGTATTTAGCATCATTATCAGCCGGATTTCTGGGTAGAAAAGTTCTGGTTATTATGGGAAAAGGAAGGTTAGTATTTGTTAAAAATGCAAGCTTATCAAGAATACATTATGACATTGTGATATACACCCCAGCTGTGGAGCACTTATAAAGTTTGAACCTTTTAAACGTTCTAAGAAGGGCCTCAAACTGATGCCCATCCCTATCCTCTAGATGGAACGGGTTCCCTGACACCTTCCACCGTCTCCCTGGTCCTACTCCGACTACAGTTGACCGGATCAAGTTCCTGTATCCAGGAAGTGTCCAGGCAGGTGTTGTATTCTTTGTACAAATCATTCTCTGCACCCCCCTAATGAAACAGTATAATAATAATAATAAAAATAATACTGGTGCAAATTTTTACAGTGTTACAGTTTTATTAGCTAAGAAGTGAATTTTAGTGTTAAGATATAGAAACTGATAAATAAAACGAAGCTAATGTCCATTTTTTATTTTACTCTTGAACTCAAAGCATCTAAAATCAACCCCCCTTCTCCCCTAATTCTTTAAAATATATTCCTCTGTATCCAGGATATAGTTGATCATCTACTAGACCTGGAGGAATTCTTGATCCCGGACACAATCATTATCCAGCACTTCCAACAACTCATGCACACAGAAGAGGGAGAGCAAGGTCATACTTTTATTAAAGAGACATTTAACGTAGTTTTATGTGTTTTCCCGTTTATCAAGTAGGATGTCCGGATAAATGAATCAAGATTGATCTTGTGCAGTGTAAACAGAACCATTTAACTTTATGATTGATTTAACATGTTACAACTAAACATTTCTGCGTTGTAAAACATCTTATAAACTTCAGTGTTGATTTTATGTCGTCTGTCCCACGTTTAATTATTATCTGCATTTTAAGCTTATTTGTTTAGATGGGTCACCAGATTCGGCCATTTTAAGTTTGGTGAAATTCGCCGCGTTCATTTCCGAATATTTTGCGGCAAACCCAACTCCTTATAAGTCTAAAACAGTATTATCAGAAAATGAAGACGACCACGAGAAAGAAATCTTTAAAACTCCAGACTCTAAAGGAAGTCAAATAGAATATTCAAAAGAAAAAGAAAACTTTGAATCAACAGAAGACGATCAAGTAGTATATGACGAAAGGAAACAGACCAGGGAAACAATAGACCAGGATCCCGAAGTTGGAAAAGAAGGATCCACTCTACCAGACCTCAGGAACCTCAGTTACAGGTGTTCAGTCAATAAAAAATGATTTTTTTAAGCTTGACTTAAACATCAATATGAAGTTTTTGATTTCCATCGTTTTCCTGACTAAAAATGAAAATAATAATAATATGGGCATATTTCGTCATTTAATAAACAGTAAACACACTTTAAATACACATTTCATTATATGAATTTCCGATAAGATATACGCCCATAAGGAAAACTACAGTTACATTTTAGTTATGATTTTAAAAAGTTCAAAGAACACTGCAATTGTGCAGTGCACACAGACTGATTTCACTTAATAAGTTTTAATCTACTGGTTAAACTGTTTGCTTTATAACAACATCAAATACAATTAAGACTGGTTAAACTGTTTGCTTTATAACAACATCAAATACAATTAAGACTGGTTAAACTGTTTGCTTTATAACAACATCAAATACAATTAGACTGGTTAAACTGTTTGCTTTATAACAACATCAAATACAATTAAGACTGGTTAAATGTCATCTTCCTATTCCACAGTTTACAAGTCTAACTCTTTATTAATTATATTAATTGTTAAATACCAAAACTGTTCTAGACTTCCTCAGTTGTTATGCTTCGCTGAACTACCTAACCTTACTCCTCTCCTTGCTGACTCACTCAGGAACTGGTGGCGGGTAAGTTTTTTTCTTTGTTTTTTAAGAAAAGATTATTTTATTTTACTGTATTTGTTATTGTTTTGTTACTGTATATTTGTTATTGTTTTTGTTATTTGAATCACGCGTTGGACTAATTTGCTATATACAAGAGTAATATTTAAAATGGTGTCATTGAGGAAGATATTGGTGTTTTAACTAAAAAATTATGCATTCAGAGCTGAAAACTTTTGAATGGGATATCCTTAATTCTGATCGGATAATTAATCTGGAGATTAAATATGAGAGGAGAACAAGCAATATTTAATCTCAAGATTAAGAAAAAGAGTGGATTAAGCATTAATCCCGATATCCACCATTCAAAAGTTCCCAGCTCTGTTAATTTATTTCAAAGTATCTGATGCATAAATGCGCAAGCCACTTATGTAGAAAATTAACAATTAAAAATAATTGATTATCGCTTGATCAAATTCATCCTTGGTCAGAGAACATTTTAAATGGTTTTTTTATGTATATCAGACATGCCATTCTATAAATAGACAATAGATGTTCACGTTAAATAAGTTGTACAGTCCCTTATGTGTTTTTAAATTTCTGTCTAACATTTATTTATTTATACCGAAGGGTCCCATTTGTCATCTAAGTGAGCTTAGAAGTAAAACCAGTTACCCGACCCGCCAGCACCCCCATTAGATAGTGAGATGTTAGCCTCAGTGGTAGGTGATTACATCAATACAATGAAGACGACTTTTGATTGAAATTTTGATTTATATTAACCTGTTAAACAGCATGGATAGTGGATACACACTACACATAAACATAGAAGTCAAAAACTTGTAATTCTAAAAAAGCAAGCTAACAATCAAAACTTAATAAAAAAATTGTCTTGGTTGTATTGATATGATCGCTTAATACTGTGTGATATAAGATTTTAAAGATTTTTTTTCTTTTTTATCTTTGTCAAAGGTATTTCAAAAAATAATTTTAATAGACATAATTCATAATTAATTCCACATTGTATTATTTATGATAGGAAGTTTGGTTTCTGGAACAGACATTAGACGCCTTTCAAGTTTCATCTACCAGTAATATTGGCACAGTGGATATATGCTATACTCACACTAATCAATATTATCTCAAGAATATCAAGACCACACCACAAGATAAATAAATAGTGGCACAGTGGATATATGCTATACTCACACTAATCAATATTATCTCAAGAATATCAAGACCACACCACAAGATAAATAAATAGTGGCACAGTGGATATATGCTATACTCACACTAATCAATATTATCTCAAGAATATCAAGACCACACCACAAGATAAATAAATATTGGCACAGTGGATACAGCCAGTAGATATTTATATGTCATTTTGACGATTAAACTGCGAAATTTTCTTGTAATGAATTTAATAATTAAGTACTCTTATAATCGAAATTTTATGGTAAACTACTAATTTTTTCCGATGAAAAAAAAAAGTTCGTGACTGGCTGTGATTTCTGACTGAAACAATTACTAATCAAGTTAAACTGTGATAAAAGTTAAAGCATTAACATGTAAATTATATCTTTTTTAAAAATTTCAGATGAATAATTTACAATGATAAAGGTGTTGGTGAAGGGCGGGTTGGTGGGGTTGCTGGGGATACTTCTCTACAACTTTGTCATCTTACCAATCACTATTCCAGATCTAGGTAATAAGCTAGTCAACTTATTTTTTATAGTTGGTGCAATTCATGAGGAGGTAAGTTACCGTCAACACCCCCCCCTTCCTTATTTTACTTTTATTTGGTTTAAAAGTTTTCAAGATTTTTCAAATTACTCCACACGCTGAATATTTGTAACAACACATTTTTCAACAGCTCTTAAACCCCGAATGTTGTCTTTTCAGTCATTTGATTTTAATTCATTGCTTGCATTATGGAAAATTCTGCAAAAGCCAAATGCATCAATGCATCTTAGAAAATGTATCAATGCATCTTAGATTAAAATAAAAAATAAAGTTTTCAGATTTCCCCAGGTTTAAGATAAACACTAAAACATTAAGACTCGGAATCTGGACTTGAAATCAGATAAAAATAATATTTATATTTTCTTTAGAGTAAAGAAAGGACTGAAGTCGGTTGGATGGGATTAACTTGATTAATCTTGGTGTAAGGGAGGGCCGGAGTAGGACTAATTGAACCAAAATATATTCTTATGTACATATTCTGATGGGGAGGATATACTCTATTGTATCCAGGATTAAGAAAGGACTGGAGTAAAGAGGATCTGGAATGGGATGGAATATATTTTATTGTATCTAGGTTTAAGAAAGGACTGGAGTAAAGAGGATCTGGAATGGGATGGAATATATTTTATTGTATCCAGGTTTAAGAAAGGACTGGAGTAAAGAGGACCTGGAATGGGATGGAGAGGATATATTCTAATGTATCCAGGTTTAAGAAAGGACTGGAGTAAAGAGGATCTGGAATGGGATGGAATATATTCTATTGTATCCAGGTTTAAGAAAGGACTGGAGTAAAGAGGATCTGGAATGGGATGGAGAGAATATATTCTGGTTTATCCAAGTTACTGATTTACACATCAGTAAATATGTTCATCTAGAGATAAAAGTAAGTAGTGCTTCCAAATAAGATAAAAAAGAGAAGAATAATTAGGTATTTCATAAATATAATTCAACAGCACATTTAATTCTATCATTTAATTCCTTTGAAGAAGTTGAACAGTCGCCACAAACTCTGTATTTCTAATTCCTTTATCTTGCAATTTACATATAATGGTACTAAACCTTGGATATTTTAATCCTAGACTTTTTCCGTAAACAGCAACATTGTTTGAAATATCAAAGGTCTAGTGAATTAGGTTGCTAAGATATTTGAAATATCAAAGGTCTAGTGAATTAAGTTGCTAAGATATTTGAAATATCAAAGGTCTAGTGAATTAGGTTGCTAAGATATTTGAAATATCAAAGGTCTAGTGAATTAGGTTGCTAAGATATTTGAAATTAAGCGTTTGTGGCGAGTGTTTAGTTCCTTTCCATTGATTTTTCTCTTTTCGAAAACTGATTATTTTCAATTGTTCTTTCTTTACAAAAGTGATTTGCACATTTCTGATGCAGAAACATTGGGAAAATAGTCAGAATTCACAACTTTTCAAGCTAGACAACGATATCTCCCACATTATTGATCATATAAAGATTTTACAAATTACCGTTGTAAATATGGCCTGCTCCTCTTTAAATTACAACGTAAGTCCCTTTAAGTTAATCATTCTTTCGAATTTATAAAATCTTTTTTTAGGATTCCTTAGAAGATTTTTTCTCCACAACTCTGGATACTATCAAGGTTTAAATCAACTTCAAACAAAATACATAAATTCGTAAAATGGATTGTGCATAGTCATACATCATACTGCAGAGATAAAATTTGGGAATTTTGCAACAGAAAGTAAAAGTAAATTGTTTTAAGACTGAAATGTAATTTTCAAAAATTAAAGCACAAATTACCTGAACAATGTCATTTTTCCTTCAGTTCTTTTTCTTGCAGTCGTCGTCGTATTAATCAATACAATGAGGACGACTTTCGATTTAAATTTTTTATATCTACCAAGCTTTTAAACACTAAACAGTATGGATACAATTACACATTAACATGGAAGCAAAGAGAAGCTGTTAACAACAGCATCTTGTTTATGAGAGACTAGCTAAAGAATTTAAAAAGAAGGAGGGGAGAATGCAGCATTTTAAAATACTGCATCTGCATATTCTTGGAGGTTTACTCCTTTAAACATATATTGTTCTGCAAACCTTAAATATTTGCGCGCGCACGAGTCTATATAAACCCTTGTAACTTATAAATGTTGCCCAGTATGCCAGTATGTATACGACCTAAAGTGAAGAAATAAATGTAAGTTTTCTCTTTCTTTCCTTTCATTTTTTAAACCTTTCATTTGTTTACTTGGAAACTTTTAATTTGTAAAAGGCTTATAAAAAATTAAACTACAATAGAAAAGTCGTCTTAATTGTATTAATTAAAACGCCGACCACTGTACATAAAAAAGATCATATGTCCTAAAGTTTTAAACATCATTTGTTCTACACAATACAGGCTCTTGAATTATTAATTTTTGAAAAAATATATATCCCTTTTGAAATATACATAACATTTACTGGGACTTTAAAAAAAGACATTTCATCTATAGGACATTTCTTAGATAGACATTTTATTGGTGAAGAAATTTAAGAGCTCGCTTCATAGACATAAGACAATTAATACATAAATATTATTTGGGGGGCTTTATATCCCCCCGCACTCCCACATTTGTCTGAAGTTGAGCTTCTCACTAGCCCAGGCTAGTGCTTGCATCTGGAGATCTAACTGATGGAAAAGACAAGGATGGAGTTGACTCTTTTCAGGTCAAAATTACGAATCTCAAATGCTTTTATAAATCTTAGAAACTTTAAAATCTTATTAATTGTTTAAAGAGTAGAGGAAACGTTATAAATTAGAATCTGATAGAAATTTCTTTTATCAATTGCCATTTGTTTTTATTTTACTCGAGCTGGGAACTCGTGAATTGTGGATATCGAGATCATGCATTTTATGTTAATCTAAATAATTATTTAATCTTGCTTCTATGAGCGTAAATAAAGTGTCATCTATGGAAAACGAGGTGCAAATAAAAATCCAGGGAATTTTTGCATTTTACCAATGAAAGCACGAAGAAATTGCGGATATCCAAAATCAAGAGATTAAGCAGATTCTACGTGAGATTAAGTTGATCGGGATTATGGGAATATAACACAAAAATTCCCAGCTTTGATCAATGATCATTGATCATTTCAAATAAGGGATAATTAAGTAAAATTGTTATATTATTATAATAACCACCCGTTTTAGAAGTTAATTTAATGAATAATGTTTCTAAAATGTTTTTAATAGTTTTAAAAATTAATTTATTTTCAGGTTTTGGAGGAATGGAAGACTTATGCCAGTATACTAGAAGAGCATAATGTTAGGTAAGTTTTTTATCTTTCTACTGCTATCATTTTTATATTTGTCATTATTATTGATTGCTATTTATGTAATTATTATCTTTGTTTGCAGCATTATCTTCCTTATTATTATAATTATTTTTATTTTTAATATCATTAATTTTTTATTATTTTATTATTATTATTATTATATCATAATCATCATTTTTATTTTAATATTATTATTTTTTGTTTTTGTTGTTTTTATTTTTATTTTTATCGTTATTATTGTTAAGTTATTGTTTATATTATAATATGTTTTATGACTATGACTATTTATTTTTTCTTTCTGTACTTTGATATCATTAAAGTAATTTTTTTCATGTTGTTTCTTTTTGTTGAACATTCTAGAGAGAAGACTATATACCTGGATATTCGTGGAAATCATGATAGTTTTGATGTTCACCATCTACACCATTCTTCTAACCTTCACAGAAACTATTCAGCTCAGGTAGACAGCGCCACTCTGTGGTAACTTTTGGAACTAGAAATATTTGCAGTACAGACAGAGACGCCATGTTTTATGCAATGCAAATATGTTTTAGGGGATTGATGGGGTTAACTTGGGTTTAAAATTAACACAACCATTTTCGACCTCAGTAATAGCTGTAAATTAAAATTAAAACTATAAATTAAAAATGAAATATCTAATATCATTTTAATCTTAAATTTCTCCTTTAATGTTTATAATTTTCTAGGGTTTTGAGAATCCATCAAGCTATATTTATGACTTTGCATTCAGAAACAAAACATACAGGAAAAATATGACTGAAGCATATACGACATTTTATTCTAATGAGATATTTTCTTTCTACATTTTTTAGAATATCCTTCATAGATAAGATGGGGGGTGGGGTGAGAATTCAAAATGTTGCCAAACGGAAAATAAATATAAAAGTGAAAAAGTTTGAAAGAAGAGAAGAAGGGAAAAAATGTTATCCCATACACCAGAAAAAGAGACAAAAATTCAATTTAATTTTAATTTTTTTCTCCAAACCTAGCCTGGAAATCCAAAGTGGGGAAAACAAAAGAAGAGGGAAATAATATACACCTGTGGTGTTACCATAATTTATTTTTCCCTTTAAAGGGGATGGTGGAGTTGGCACATTTGATGTAGGGGGGGGGGGCCCTGCCTTCATTTTTGGTTCAAATCTTCCAATTTTTTGGGTGCACGCCTAATT